TTTCTCTTGAAATGCTTCGATGCTGCTTTCAGAATCTTACTCCACCCCTGTATACAGCACATCATCATCAAATCCCACCAGCTTACTCTGTTTTTCAGTTCAATTTTGAACTTTTTGGAGTTAAAAACAAAACAAGCATATTCGGAGAAAAAAACACTAGATTTTACCTTGGTAATGATGGGGGCGCAGCCGTCTTTGACAGGTGTTGGGGAAAATTCAGAAGCTATGTTCTTCCTTGTCTTGTTCTTGCTTCTCAAAAGCTGGAGATTAATGTTGAAAGCAGCTGTGGCTACCTTCTTCTTCAGGTTGGGTCTGAATTTCTTGGCACTGCAGTTGCTTTTCTCCGACTCGAACCCGAAAGCGAGGTTTCGAGGTATAATGATGGGATCGTAGTCCAAAACAGCAGGGCTGTAAGGGCGAGGGATCAAAGGGGACCAGAGTGAGCTCTGAGTGTAATCGAAATCGAAGGCGGAGTTATCCTGGAACTTGCAAAGAAGCTCCCTTGACATCAACGGCTCCAAATACTCCACCACTTTGGCTGAAGCCATGATCAAACTCTCTTCTTGCTCATTCACGGTTGGGATTAGCATTTACGACTTGTGTTTTTGAAGCAATTTCTTGTTTATTTCCAGTTTCTTCAAGCATATGGAGAAGAAGCAACACTGCAAGACACGAAGAAAAAAAAAAGTTCAAAAAAGTGACCGTTGCAAGTACTTTTGTCCGAACGTCTCCCACCCAATATTTTAACCGTCTACAATTAATATGCCTTAATTATCCCTGTCTTTCTATTCTCTTTCCTGTTCTACCCTAGATATTTTCATTTCTAACTTTTCGAACCTATTAGCTTGTCATACATACATACATACAATCTCAACAATAGCAAAGATACTTGGGGCATGGTTCTAGAGTACCATTAGCATACCAATTTACCTTTAAAGAAAACAAACATCACACCTAACTGATATTTTATACATGATACATCGATCACACATCAAATATTAATCTAAAATCAAATAAAACATTTTTCTTTTAACGGACGATAATTTAAAAACTCAATTTATATTTAAATGTCATCATATATATCAAATAAACACAATCGAAAATAAAATAAAAAATATCAAAATAGCATAATTTTAACCAATTTTGCCTGAACCAAACAGAGAAAATAGAGTCAAATCAATGAATCAAGGATCAACCTTATCTTTTCCCTTACTACTTGAAGCTCTAAAAGCTTCTTTAACATGAATAAAAGAGTTTACATGTTCAAACGCGTGCGCTATAATTAATCAATAAATTCATAATCAAATTATAAAATTGAAGATATGGACGACAGCTTAGTGTTTCAATAACACCACCACTTAGCTTCCAAGAAAATCATTCACTAATTTATTGAACTTCCCTCACAAGGTTGAAGCTAGGTTTGTGGCTCAATGTGACACTCCAAAACTGGGTTAGTATTTTTAGGTGAGATAATTTAGAATTAATAATAAATTATACCTAACGTTTAGTTTTTGTTTCAGTAACCTTTTTTATGGGTAAATTGTATCATCGACCACTCAACTGTCTTATTACTCCTATTTTGGTCACCAAAGTTTAATTTTTTAATCTAGTTACTTAAATTTCAAATTATTCCTAATTTAATCACTCTAACTTTCAAAATTATTTTTTATTTTTAATTATATATTAATAAAATAATAAAAAAAATATAATGTCACAAAAATTATTAATAAAATAAATTAGAGTGATTAAAATATGAACAATTTGAAATTTGAGTTGTTAAATGATATTTTTTTATACTTTAGTACCAAAATAAGAGTGTGAAGATAGTTGAGTGATGAATGATGTAATTTACCCATAAAAATGTAGTGCGGTTAAGTATTTAACACGAGATACTAAAATGAAACATTAGGTATGATTTAAAAAATTTGAAATTTTAGGAACTAAAATGGACCAAAATTGATAGTTAGGTATTGAACGTGTAATTTACCCTAGAATTTATACTGCTTCAATCTTAATTTTGGAGCTTAATTGAGAAAATAGTCAAAATTTGGGGGTCTATTTTGGAAGATTAGGGTTAGTAATACGAATTCTAAAAGATCATGTGCCATTTTGAAAACCTTAAAGAGAATAGGGATTAATTCTATAAGTTTCTTATTATAAATTCAAAGGTTAACTCTTCCCCTTATGTCGTCGGTTCTAACGTTGAAACCCTAAATTTATAAATATTTATTATTATTTTTTAATTCCTAAATTAATGATATTTTACTATAATTTGGATCTTTCTTCTTTACAGAATTTTGGTGGTTAAATCTAAAAACAATAGGAAAAGAAAAACTTTTATATCTTAACTTTTGTGAAAAGAGATCAATCTTTATTAATAGTGAATCAGTCCAATATTATTGTGATCACCGGAGCTATGAAGCTCTCGAATACTCACTTAGACCCTCATCTTTATGGTTATTACACAAAAGTCTTTACTTCTTATGCATGCGAGTCAAAACACTTGCAACAAGTTTAATCATGGCTTATAAACAAGGTCCTCATCATGATTTTTCTAAGGTGGCGTTTGGTTCGCTGAAATGTTTCTGAGAGAATTAGAATCAACAACAACAACAACAAAACCCTATTCCCATATGCAATGGGGTAAGGGAGGTAGGGTAGTAGGTTGTCCCCCAACGCCAGGTTGAGAGCAGCTTCCGTGGAAGACATCCGACAGTAAAAAATTAAAAATAAAGATAAAATACAATGCATGTTTAAATAAATAAATAAAATATGTATGTGAACAATCTTCATATGCACGTCTGTAATGGGAAGTAATCCCTACAAATAAACCCCTGCGTAAAAATATCTGCATATAGACAGAAACGTAAGACCCGACCAAAATTATAAATTCTGAGGGAATTAGAATCTATGAAGGAATTGGAATCTGTCCGGAATTAGAATCTGTCAGGAATTGGAATCCAATTCCATATTCTGTTTGGTTGGCAGGAAATTGAATTGGAATCTAATTCCATATTCTGTTTGGTTCGCAGACTTGTCAGATGAATTTGATTTCAGTAATGTAAAATGACAAGATTGCCCTTCTTATTTTTTTGCTTAATTTTAGTTTGTTTTATAAATTACATGTAACAATATATTATAAAAATTTTAAAAACTTTAAATTTTAATTTTATTGATTGATTATTCATTTCAATAAATTATAAAAATCATGCTAATAAACATCATAAGTTAAAATTATCCCAATTAGGGATGACCATGGGTAGGTTGGGTCGGCTTTTTGGTCCACCCGACCCAACCCGAGAACAAGAGAACCTCCATCCGAGACCCGACCCGACCAAAATAAAGTTTCACCCGACCCGACCCAAATATATGAATTAGAAATCCGACCCTACCCGAAATAATAAAAAATTATTTTTATTCAATAAAAACAGTGATTTAATTGAAAATATATATAGAGAGGGGTATTATTGTAATTATTCCTAAATATATAAGGTAAAATTATATATTTTTTGGTTCGGGTCGGGTCGAGTATTTTTCACCCTAAACTCGTACCCGACCCAACCCGAATATCACACTTAAAAAAAATCGACCCGACCAAAATAAAGTTTCACCCGACCCGAATATATGAACTAGAAATCCGACCCTACCCGAAATAATAAAAAATTATTTTTATTCAATAAAAACAATGACTTAATTGAAAAAAAGTATATATAGAGGGAATTATTGTAATTATTCCTAAATATATAAGGTAAAATTATATATATTTTCGGGTCGGGTATTTTTCACCCTAAACCCGAACTCGACCCGACCCGAATATCACACTTAAAAAAACCGACCCGACCCGACCAAAATAAAGTTTCACCCGACCCGACCCGAATATATGAATTAGAAACCGGACCCGAAATAATAAAAAAATATTTTTATTCAATATATGAATAAGTTACGAAAAGATTGATGAGGGTAGTATGATCAAATTTCAATTCCCTCCAACAAGGGAATTGAATTCAATCATAGAATGGATAGAATTCACTTTCCCTCATTTGATGAAAGTTGAAGCCATGAGGGATTCCAATTCCCTTGGAAAACTTGAACTAAACATGAGAAAGTGGTGGAATTGGATTCCAATTCCCCCTAATTCCAAGGGATTCGTACCAACCAAACGCCACCTAAGGAATATGAGACTTGATTCTTTTAAAATATCTTATTTTTTTATAATAAATTATTAAAAATTTATAAAATATTATAAAAAATAAAAGTATTTATATTTATTGTAGACATTTTCTAATAAGATATGATATCTCAAATGAGTGTTTTTTACTTATTCGTTTTACCGATTTAAGTAGAAACTAATTATGTCGAATCGATTAAGATCACAAAAACAATAAATTTTTTTCCTTAAGTATTTAATGTTGCTTCATCCCCAAGTGAAATGTAAATTATTTATACAAGTATATGCTATCAGGAAAATGCGTAGATGTTCCTTTTCTTTGACTGACGATCTAATGTAGTGCAGTTTTTGTTTGTAAGTATCCGGCCGACGACGGAACATGGCTCACAGAGTGATCTAAATTAGACAAGGTCTGATCACCGTCCAACGGTGAAATTAAAGAAAGCGAAAGAAAAATATTGCCGATCACAGGATGGAGGACATGTCGTTGCCAATGTGAAGGTGAAGGTGAAGCCGATCGGAATCTCTGCAAACATTTATATTTTATTTTAGATATGCAAAGACAATGGGAAGAAGCACATGCAAAATGCAGCAAATCACGGATCCAACTGGGCACTACGAGTTAAAATCAAGCACGCGGTTTCTCGATTCCCTTAGCCTTCAAACTTAGAAAATCTTGTCACAACCGAGATATTTTGCATGAAAATTTCATTCAAATTTTGCAACTTGTAGTACTAAAGTCAACAAATGATTATAAAGATGTTACTATGCATGATTGATGTACACTCCCTCATCTGCATGTTATATCTATAAATACAGCATTTGAAGGAGGCAGTCAGCATAAAGCAAGGAGTTTAATGATGGAGAAGCATAGTTTGCCCAATCTGATTGTTCTGCTTCTAAACTTGGGAGCTTTGGTCACTTGTCTTGCATGTCCTGAATGTCCCCGTCCAACTCCGCCGCCAAATTGTCCTCCGAATCTTCCACCAAAACATCCCCCCATTGTGAAGCCACCATTTCACCCTAAACCACCAAAACATCACCCGACGTCGCCTCCCTATGTACCGAAACCTCCCGTCGTTGTCAATCCTCCACCACCTTACTATCCAAAGCCACCCGTTGTGAAGCCGCCAACGCCACTGAAGCCTCCCGTCTATCCGAGCCCTCCAATTGTGAAGCCACCATCTCCAAAGCCTCCCGTCTACCCGAGTCCGCCAATTGTGAAGCCACCAACTCCAAAGCCTCCCGTCTACCCGAGTCCGCCAATTGTGAAGCCACCAACTCCAAAGCCTCCCGTCTACCCGAGTCCGCCAATTGTGAAACCACCAACTCCAAAGCCTCCCGTATACCCGAGTCCTCCAATTGTGAAGCCACCAACTCCAAAGCCTCCCGTATACCCTAGTCCTCCCGTCGTGAAGCCGCCTCCAGTGGAGACCCCTTGTCCGCCGCCACCACCATCACCCATGCTATATCCACCACCTCCGGCGAAGCAAACATGCCCCATTGACAGTCTCAAGCTAGGTGCGTGTGTTGACGTGTTAGGTGGCCTAGTGCACATCGGTATAGGCAGCAGCGCAAAGGACACATGTTGCCCGTTGCTTCAAGGGCTGCTGGACTTGGATGCCGCTATTTGTCTTTGCACCACGATCAAGGCCAAGCTTTTGAACATCAATATTATAATACCGATTGGGCTTCAGGTCCTCATCGATTGTGGCAAGACTCCACCTCCAGGATTCCAGTGTCCAGCATAAGCATGGAGTAGCAATTTTTGGACGAAATAAAATCATGTTCATCTCATAACAAGATGTTGTAACTGTAGAAAATTTGGAGTTTCCACATGAAGATATGTCGATACATGACAAGATGTGGGATTTTTTTTGCTTTGTTTTGAATTTCAAGTTGATTTGTTCACCTGCACCACGTCGTAGACTTGTAATGCTGGGGATGTTTTTCTTAAAATATTACTTTGAAGATGCAATAAAATTTATATAAATGAAAAATCGATGATGTCTCATGTTTAAGATTAAATTGGGGTGAACTACACGAGTGGTTCTTTCATTATTTACTTATTTTATTTTAAACACTGATTTTGAAAAAATAATAATTTGATTACTTACATTATCGATAAATTTTATTTTGTCACTAGATCATTAACTCTCGTTAACTTGCTAACTTGACACGTTACAAAAGAGTTATCTATTTTCTTCTCCCAAAAAATACCTCTTCTCTAATCCTAATCCTCACCCTCATTGTCGTTGTTGTCGTCACCAGCCATCTTTAGTCGTGACCTTGTGCTTTACCAACAGGTGAAAAATGGGTACTCAAGAAATCCCATGGGATCATCGATGTGTGGCGTTATACCAACCTATATTTGTGCACCTTCTCCATCAATATATATTTTTTAAAAAATTATTATTAATAAAATTTTAAAAATATATTTTTAAAAATTTTTAATCAAATAATTTTTAAATATGTATTTTATAAAAAAATAATTATTTAAAATAATTATAATAAAAATAAATAAAAATTTAGTCATCAATAGTCTGGAGCAGAGCTATACATTTCAAATTGTGATGTCATAGTTTTAAATGATATCTAGATAAAGACATATAAATCAATGCATAATACAAAATCTCAATAAATTAATGTAAAATATAACTAAAGTAACACAAGACTATTGAAAAAACTATAAAAAAATAACTAAAATAAAAGAAACATCAAATAAAGTTTAACGACTCATACCTTTTTTTTACAATTGTCCATAATGTTTTCTCACGTTTTGAAATTGTTGAACTACTTTTTCATTGTCGATGTTATTAAAAATATCTTTCTCAACATATGTAACCAAACAATCATTCATCCATTGATCATCAATTTGATTCCGCAAGCGATTTTTCACAATCTTAATTGCAGAAAATATTCTTTTCACACTTACCTTAGCAACCGTCAAAATCAATGTAAACTTCACCAAATGATATACAAAGGATAATCAATATTATTTTTTGAATCAACCATCTTCATAGCAAGGTCTTGAATCCTTTTTGGGTTTGAGAACTCTTTGTTTGAACACATGCCCATGATGTATGTCTCCAATTGGTTATCAAGAGCATGAACTTCAATGGTAGAAAAATCAGAGGAATAAATTTCACCAAGACGATTCAACTTTTTTTTTGTTAAAAGATGCAAAATCATCATTCATGCATAAGCAAGATACATATAGTAATAAAACAATTTACATAGTGTTAACACAACTATTTGAACGAAAACAATGAACTTATTAACATATATTAGACAATAATAACAATTATCTCAAAATTTGAAATCAACCCAATATCTTTAATAATTCCTAACATTAAAAAACATAAACTCATTATCAATATCAAATAAAAAATTTTAAAAATATTGAAACATTGAAAACTCAAAGAAAACAATAAGTAAATTTAATTTACTTTACATTGATGCTAGAATGTGATTTGATTTGATTTGTCTTTCTTCTTGGGAATTGTCAAAAATTTAATATTGTTCTATCAATAGATGAAGATTGTAGGTTAGGGTTCATAGAGAAAAGAAAACTTTAAGAAAAAGATGGGTGAATATCGTTGATTAAAAACTTTGGAAGAGATTTTTAGTTTTTTTATTATTAAATATTTTATAAAATAAAAAGGTAGGGTTAAAATGAGATAGAGTTAAATTTTAAAAAGTAAAATATATGGAGAAAGTGACTATTGACTTTTTGTGTGTAGGAAAAGTAAATTTTATTATTTTTAAAAGGTCGTACCTATTTTTTAAAGGGTGTGAAAACGTTTATAAAAAGAGTGTCATTTTTTTATTTTTATATCATATATATTAAATCTATATTAAAAAATATTAAAAATTTTTGGAGTGTTAATAAAGACCCTTAAATATATTGTCGCACCGATAGTGGATAAATGGAAAATTTGATGGGACATAAAATGAATGTAATTTAAAAACTTTTGAATAAATATATAATATTTTAAGAGTAATTTAATAAAAATTTAAAATCACAATTTTTTATAATTAATTATTTTCAAATGAAAGTTGAATTGAAAAATTTTAAATATTGATAACAGACTCAAAAACAATAAACAATAATATATTTCTTTGATTCATTTGCAAATATGCCTCATCACCTTACTTATAACACTCTACATATAGGAATAGTTCTGGAATTATCTTCTAACAACTTACAGCTCATCATCAATAATAACAACCTACAACTAATCCATGCAACGTAGATGACTCATGCCATAGCATTCTTCTTATTCTTCTGTAAGTATTTCATAGCTGAAACATCCTACCGACTTCTCTGTGCTTTCTTCATTAGCATCTTGCACTTTGTCACGAAATAGAGTAAAAGCATAATTTCATAATGGTTTTGTCAAACCATCAGCAAGTTGATGAGATGCAGGAACGTAGTTTACGCTTAGTTCTTTATTTGCTACATTTTCCCGCAAAACACTATATATGAAATACAGGGTTGACACTCATCACCACCGCATTGGTGTTATCGCTCCATATAATAGGAACTTCTACTTGCTTCTCACCCATGTCTCGTAGCAATGTTTGAATCCAAACAACTTCGACTACAGTGTCAACAATACTCTGATATTCTGCTTCTGTGGTATAACGAGCTACAATTTTCTATTTCTTTGAACTCAATGAAACTAGATTACCACCGAGGAATACACACTGGCCTGATATCGATATGCGGTCTTCTGGATTACTTGCCCAATCAGCATCAATAAAGGCAACAAGATTACTTGTTGAACTATTAGCATAAAATACAAAACCATAGTGGATTGTACCCACCAGATAACGAAGTATTCTTTTGACAGCTATCCAATGTTCTTCGCATGGGTTATGCATGTACTGAGCTACACGATATACACTGAATGCAATGTCTAGTCGGGTGTGAGTGATGTACATTAAGGCACCAACAATTCTCTGAAATTATTGACCATCTATAAGATGTTCCCTTGCATATTCCATAAGCTTTGGTGACAAAATCATGGGAGTAGGAACAACATTAGCTCTTGTCACCAAAAATACTTAGTGAACCAAGATCCTTAAGTGAGAACTTTTTACCTAGCTGCTGAACAATTGTTTTGATAAATGTAGATGAATCCCTAGTGATGACAATGTCATCAACATAAACAAGCATGAATACATGACTTCCATCCATGTAACAGACAAACAACGAGGCATCAACAGTTGATTCTTGAAAGTGTAGATCAAGAAGAAATCAACGTAATATTCCATACCACATACGAGGAGCTTGCTTTAGACCATATAAGACCTTCTGCAGATGACATACTAATACTTATCTAATAGCAACTTGATGTTCAAAGGTGGTTGAGTCATAAACACCTCTTCACCAACATCACCATTTAAGAAGGCGTTGTTGATGTACACATGCCGCAGAGGCCATCCGTGAGCAGTGGCAACAAAAAAAACCACATTGATTGTAGAAGCTTTCACTACTGGACTGAAAGTGTTATCAAAATCACAACTAGGAGTTTGTGAAAACCCCTTAGCTACTAATCGAGCTTTGTGACAAGCTACTGTTCCATCCACATTTCGCTTAGTTTTAAATAACCATTTACAACCCATAACAGATTGACCAAAGGGTAGTGGTTCAAGCGTCCAAGTTTTGTTTCGAACCAACGCATTATACTTATCAAGTACATCTTGCTTCCATTCGGCCGACTGAAAAGCTTGATAAACTATAGTTGCTTCAGTGGCTGCATTAGTATGTTCAGTTGTAGACAAAAGAGCCTTTGATTTAAAAATACCCGCCTTGCTGCGTGTCACCATTGGGTGATAATTTTGAATATTCTGGGATCTACCATAAGAGCTATTAGGAGCCATAGAAGGATCAAGAGCCAAATTAGTACATTAGTTATTACCCTCATCTTCAATAGAATAGGATTCTTCGCCTGTTGGACAAGGTATTATGTCTTCAAGTATAGGAGCAGTATGACTTTGGGAAGATGTAGTAGGACTAATGTGAGATGGATCTTTAGTAGGTCTTCAATTCACTCGTGAGGTGGCACTCATGAATGGAGGAGCCACAAAGGAAGATGAAATAGGTGCTTTGCCAAGACGATCAGCACCTTGAACAATAAACAAAGATCTGCTTGAACTCGGAGGAGTCTGAGGTGCAAAGCTACATGTACCAATATTTGCATATAGAAACATACATTCATCAAAGTTTACATTTGAGAAATATACAACTGACCGCCTTTTTCCAAACACTGGTAGTCACGATACTGAATACTATAGCCCAAAAAAACACATGGTTCATACTTGAAAGCAAGTTTATTAGATTGAAACGGGCGAGTATATAGGAAACAATGACAACCAAAAACTCTTAAGTGATCATATGAGGGCTTCTTTCCAAACAATCGTTCAAATGGAGACATACCATTAATGACCTTAGTAGGAAATCGATTGATTAAGTGAACAACAGTAACAACAACATAGGACCAAAACTTTATTGAAAAAGAAGCACGTACTAATAAAGTGTCATTTCAATAACATGATGGTGTTTCCTTTCAACAACACCATTATGTTGTGAAGTGTGAGGACAAGTAAGACGATGTTGAATACCCTCCTGTAAAATAAGATGAGTGAATGGGCGATAATCCCCGCCCCAATCACTCTGAACAACAAGTATATTAGCACAAAACTGTGTATGAACAAGTTGTTTAAATAATTGAAAACATTGCAGTGCTTGACATTTATCTCGAAGTAAATACAACCACGTATATCGAGAGTAGGCATCAAAAAACAAAATGTAGTACTTGAATCCATTGGATGTAGTGGGTGCAAGGCCCCATATATCAGTAAAAACCAATTGAAAT